AAAGGATAAAACTGCCCTTGTTCAAACCTCATTCCTTTGTATTATATAGAATAAATAAATAATTAAAAGTAAATACTCACCTGAGATATGTAGTCTCTGAAGAAAGAAATATATTTATCTGTATCTCATTATTCTTCTCTTTGTTCTTTTTAACTCATAATATCAGTCAATGTACAGTTTTGCCTATATTGTTGTTGCATATTCATGGAGAAGAAAAATTACAAGTAGAAAAAATTCTTTACAATGATGTAAGTACTCTGAGTTTTTTTCTTGATTTGGTAAAATACATGTGATGCATAATTCCCTGAATTGAAACACATATAACATTTTATTGAAGTTGCTAACTACTCCAGTGTTAGATTTGGCTTTTCAAAATCAGCTAGTATATGTCTGAGTCAAGCAGAAAAGGTTAAATAAGTTGATGTTAAGAAAATGAACCCTAAGATATGTATTCAAATGTTTTTTTTTTCTTTCAGGTGATTGTTTCTAACACATTTATAAGATTATTTTTTTTGTTGCTTTGTATGTCCCTCGCCCATGGTATAACCCCTGCTTTCACTGTATTTGAGGTTGGTATAATTTGTGGAGGGGAAGGGAAAAAACAAATCGTTTAAATAGGGATACAGGTGGATCCATTGCAACAATGAGATGTACAAGTCATTGTGTGGGAAAACGAACTTTACAACTTTGGTGGGCGGGGAGGAGGGAGGATGGGAAGGGATGGGAAGAGGAAACAAAGGAGGAGGCTACAATGCTTGATAATCTTGCCCATGTAATTGTAACCCTTCTCTACAGTATTTTCACAGTAAAAAAAGGAAAAGTCTTGGAATTAATATGAGGTAGTGTAAGTGAAAATATTGAATAGGAAATCTGAATATAAAATCTCTATTAAAAATGCTCATTCCCAGCCAAGAAGTTTCTCCAGAGTTTTTTCTTCATTTGTTTATTGTTTTCATTGTACTATTTTAGCCAACTATTTGAAAATAATATGCTTATGTATCTGTGTTATTCTTAGTTTGTAACATCATAAATCAAAATCCTATAATGTCACTAGCCACAATGAAGTAGACAGCTAGGTGAGATTTTATTCATATGATGAATGGAGTATTACAGAGTGATTTGGGGATTGAGAAAATGTTGTAAATGAAGATGCTTGCTGTGGAAGAAAGTTAATGATGAAGAGCTTCCTTGTTCAAAGAAATGTATGCATCTGGGCATAATGGCACATACCTGTTATCCTAGAAATCAAGAGGCAAATGGCAGAGGAATGTGGATTAAAGTCCAACCTGTGCTACATAACAAGACCCTATCAGAGAGAAAATAAAACAGAATTTTAAAACATACACAGAGCAACTATGCATGACAATATATGCATATAATCTTGTATTTTGTCTCAAGAAAGTCTTTGTCCTTAGTGCCAGTGGCTCATGCCTGTAATCCTAGCTACTCAGGAGGCTAAGATCTGAGGATCATGGTTCAAAGCTAGCCCAGCAGGAAAGTCTGCAAGACTCTTTTCTTCAATAAACCACTAGAAAGCCAGAAGTGGTGCTCTGGCTCAAGTGGTAGAGTGCTAGCCATGAGCTGAAGAGCTCAGGGACAGCGCCCAGGCCCAGAGTTCAAACCCCACAACTGACAAAACAAAAAATCTTTGTCCTGACATGCCTTGAGTAGGGAAAAGTATGTAAGGTAAAATTATTAGTCATGACAAGATTCAGAAGGGAAAGGATGCTATAGTATAGGTTCCTTATAAGTTTGAAATTCAAATACCACAATCGAATCCTGTACACTGTACTGTGTGCTCCAACATAAATCAGTATATTACAAAAACCAGCACTTGTACTTTGAATTCTTACTTTTGTCATTTTATGACAAGAACGATGACAACATTAAGGAAATGAGGGATACCTTTATCACAGTGGAGAAATGGGACCCCCAATTCTGCATCTTCTGTATGTGAGTATTTTGATATAGATGTTTTTCCTACATATATTAATCCATATGACAGATACAATAGTGTGGAGATACTTGAAGATATAATCACAATAAACCAATAAGCAATTATAAATTATTAATTCAGGAAAACCTTCTGAAATTAAGAAAAATGTCAAATACTACATAGGTTTTCAGTTTTTAAAAGTTATTTTAACAATATTGTTTATTTTGAGCTTACCCTTGCTCATGTAACTGTAATTCTTCTGTACAGTATTTTACAATAAAAACATTAAAAAATTAAATAAAAAATATTAAGTAGATCTCAGAACATTATAAAATGAATGGTACTTGGCTTAAAAGTCCCAAACTTCTGTTTCTACTTCCTCAAGTCTAACAGCATAAATTCAGAAATATAATTGTGGTAAGACTGGAAGAAGACTGGATGCCAAACATTGTTCTTAAAGGCTGAGTTAGAAATGTATCATGAATTGGGGACATCAGTGCTGGTAAAAGTTTATTTACATAACCAGGGTTATGAAAGGTGCTCAGCAATATTTACTGAAGATACTGATAGATGATTCTTTATTTTTGCCAGTCTTAGGGCTTAAACTCAGGACCTAGGGGTTATTTTGCTCAAGGCTAGTTTCTACCACTTGAGCCACAGCTTTATTTCTGTCAGTTTTTTTTTTGTTTCTTTTTTACTGGTTAATTGGAGATAAGATTTTCATGGACTTTCCTGACCAAGCTGACTTTCAACAAGAATCCTTAGATCTAAGTCTCTTGAGTAGTTAGGATTACAGGCGTGAGACACCATCACAAGGATTGGCTGAATGATTCCTTGCTGGCTATTTATAATTGAAAGATTCTATATCTATATAATCTTTACAATATAAAAGGAGGTAAAATTTGGATTGATGCTAAGATGGCTTTGGAGAGGGAAGTGAGAAACCACCAAGACAGTCTAGAGAGACTTTTGATAGATAGAATTTGACCACTTCCACAAAACAAAGCAAAGCAAAACAAACAAAAAAGCAAATGAAACACAGTGTCCAGTCGCCATTCAAGGAATGAAGCCATGGCTTGTCCTCAAAGTGTCAACTTCAGATGAGTCAACACAATAGTCAGAGGTAAAGAAATGATAGTTAACCCAAGAAATAAGGGTAAGCTTGCGTCTCTCTATAACTGTAGCATTATCTACGAAGTAAAAACAGCTTATCATTTGTCTTCACTCACAGCTTATCATCTATCTTCAATCACAGAATCTAGACCTAATAGACTTATGTGTATACATTGATATATATTTATGTGGAGAGAGGGCAGATGGAGGGAGAGAAGGACAGGAAGTGGAAGAGAATATTGAAATTGTGGATTGATGGTTTGTTGGATGAGAGTGAGGAGAGGGAGGGTAATAAAACGATAATGGGTGAATATCAAAATGCCTTGTTTATGACTGAAAATAGTGTGAGGAAACCCACTGAAAACTACTGAATAAAGGGGAGTAGAAGAAATGAAGAGGGTAAAACAGAGGGATTTACTTTAATTAAACTATAATATGCTTAGGTGAATTCCATGGCAATATCCCCATACACACTTTCTGTTCCATTCTTTGGGTTTGAACTCAGGACCTTGTGCTCTTAGCTTTTTCATTCAAGGCTGTCTCTATACCATTTGAGCCACATTTCCATTTCCAGATTTTTGTTTTGTGGTGTGTGTGTGTGTGTGTGTGTGTGTGTGTGTGTGTGTGTGTGTGTGTGTGTGTGTGTGTGTGTGTGTATGAGAAAGAAAGAGAGAGAGAGAGTGTGTTCTGGGCTTGAACTTAGGTACTAGGCACTGTCCTTGAGTGTCTTCACTCAAAACTAGCATTCCATTATTTCAGCACCAGATCCACTTCCATCTTTTCGATGTTTAATTGGAGAGAAGCATCTTACAGACTTTCCTGCCTTGGCTGGCTTTGAGCCTCAATCCTTAGATCATAGCTTCTTGAGTAACTAGGATTACATGCACGAGCCATTCGTGCCCAGCTTGCTTTTTGTTTTTCAGTTAGAAATGAATTTCCTTGTTTTGTATGTCCAATTTTGCTTCAAATCACAATCTTCAGATCTTCATCTCCTGAGTATTACAGGCATGAGCCACAGTCACACAGCTATCATTTTATAATGACAGGAGTGTAAAAAATAGTAGAAATGGAAAGAAAAAGACCAAATTATGTATGTATAAACACACATATACAATGAAAAATGCAATTAAAACTTGTACATGAAAATATGCTAAAATTTTAAAAAATAATATGTCATAATTGTAGAGAGGAAATATTTGGTAAGAAAAAACCTACAGGAGGCAGAAAAGGGAAAGAAGAGGGTGATGAGGATGAATATGATTTAAGTAAATAGTGTATTTGTATAAAAATAGCAGAATGAAATCCACTAAAATTGTTTAAAGGAAGTTGGAATAGGGAGATGGGTTAAGAAAATAATAAAGATAGGTTCAATTTTATAAAAATAAATTACATTCATCTATGTAAGTATCATAATTAAGCCTATTTATATAATTAATAATAAAAGTTGCTAAGACAAAGGTAAAACATTTGAATAAGATAGTCAGTTTGGAAGGGAAAAATATCACACAGTAATGGTCAACGATTCTGTTATGTCAAAGTAAGTATTATCAAAAATTAAGTAGCATGACTATCAAATTAGTCAAGATGAATTATATGATTTCTATGCACACATGGGCGTAACTGGTAGAATGAAAAATGGTCACTATGTGCTTTTCTTTTTGAGGAAGATTCATTTATTTTTTGAAAGAAGTTTAAATTGTTGTATGTATGCAGCATGTATACAGTAAATACAAGCTGCAACTTTCCTGCATGGCAGCTATCCATATTGCATGATGCATACTTACATATTCACATGCACCTGCACACATGCATTTGCACACAATGCTCATATATTTACCTACAAATATGCTCACATATATGTATGCACAGATACATGTGCATATGTTCTTGACAAAGAGATTTTGACATTACTCGATATTTTGATTATTTTTTATTCTAGATTGCGTGGAAGATGGAGAAAAGAAATGTAACAGTCATCAGGAAATTTGTCCTTCTGGGATTACCTATCTCAACAGAGCAACAGCATATTCTGGCCGTGCTCTTTCTCTGTATGTACTTGGTCACCATGTTGGGAAACACGTTCATCATTCTGGCCATTGGCTTTGACTCTCGCCTCCATTCCCCCATGTACTTCTTCCTTAGCAACCTGGCCTTTGTTGACACATGTTTTACTTCTACTACAGTCCCCAAATTGCTAGTGAGCATCTTGACTGACATCCAGACTATCTCTTTTGTAGGCTGCTTTGCTCAACTCTTCTTCATTTCCTTTGTGAATATGGACAGCCTCCTTCTCTGTGTGATGGCATATGATAGGTATGTGGCCATTTGCCACCCTTTGCATTATACAGCCAAAATGAGTCCTCGTGTTTGCATTTGGCTGGTGGTTGTGCTCTGGATTGTCACCTATTCCCATGCCCTCCTACAGACGGTCCTAATGGCACTTCTGAACTTCTGTGACTCCAATGTCATCCATCACTTCTTTTGTGATCTCAACCCTCTTCTACAGCTCTCTTGTTCTGATGTGTCCATGAACCTGGTGATCATTCATGTAGTAGGAGGTCTGCTGGCCATCACACCCCTTATCTGTATCCTCATATCATATGTACTTATCTTCTCCACTATTCTGAAAGTCACTTCTTCTCAGGGGAAACAAAAAGCCTTTTCCACCTGTGGCTGCCACCTGTCAGTGGTGGTGTTGTTTTACGGGACAGCCATCGGTGTCTACTTCAGTCCCTCCTCCCCCCACACTCCTGAGACAGATACCCTGTCAGCTGTCATGTACACAGTGGTGACTCCCATGTTGAATCCTTTTATTTATAGTCTAAGGAACAGGGATATGAAGACAGCACTTCAGAAAATGCTTTGTAAGTGAGATACATGAACAGGAGTGGCATTGCATGGCCATATTTATTTTTAGAGCTCATTTATTTCTAGTTGGAGCCTGAATGCATTGGAGAATCTGGATGGAGGTCTCAAAATTTACCCATATGAGGGAGCATCTAGGATGAGAATGGATGCACCTGCAGTGAGCAAGTAGTAATGGAGCTGTGGTCCAGCGCTTGCCTCAAATTGTGCTGCAGCATCTTACTACCAGGTCTTTAGATTAGATTGCCTTTCTTCAACAGTTCACGGTTCTAAATAGTGGCACAGGGTGAAGTAATACAAGAGTGATACCCACTGACACTATGTTGGAAATGAACTTTACAACTTGGGGGAGGAGGGGAGTTGTTGGGAGAGACAATGCGAGAAAATGAGGGAAGGGGTAACAGTGTCTAAACGAAATGTATTCATTATGTAAATGTAACCCTTGTTTACATCACCTTTATAATAATAATAATAGTACAAAATAATAAAAGATTTGGGGTAAATTTCTTATATTTTGAAACTTTATTTATCTAACTATTGATTGGTTTGATCTTTGAATTGATCTGAAAAGCAAAGTTTTCAGCCATTTGTTATCTAAATAATTCTGTGTCTCATAATGCAATATAAATTGTGGTGAGGAAATGGAGAATATCAGTAGAGATGAAACTCAAATATTCAGTATTGAGCAAAGTTTATATACAGTGAATTTTGTCAACTGATTCATCAACATATTTATAATGTCAATATTTTAATCTTATAGAACTTCCAAAAAGGAGTTAATAAAGTAAATTATTATCAAAGAGGAATGCAGAATTAGAGACTGATTGTGTTTAATACATTGAATAATTTAGATATTGAGATATTGAAATCAAATTACCAAATAGTACCCAAAATACAGTGGACAAGTAAAATTATATTAGCATTTTACTAAAGCAGGTGGTCTTCATTTTGATGTGCATTATGGATCATACTATATAGATCTTGTATTAAAGAGTATCACATTAGGATGTTTTAAAGCAAAATAAATATGATTATATATATGAACAAAACAAAATTATTAGAAAATATATTTTCTCCGATTAGTGGAGCTTTCCCTTTTATTTCGTTATCCTCTACTACCTACATATAAATAAAATTATTGCTATTTAACACCAGTTGGACTTTTGAATTTGTCAAACTATGGATCCAAAATGATGTTGGTCTTTGTCGAGGCTGAAAGCAATTAGATGCATAGTTCCATTTCAAGTCCAGGGAGCTGTCTCCTGGTTGAAGTCCTAGATTTTCATGACTTTTCCATATGATTTCAAATGTCACATTTCCTAGGAACAGAAGTGAATACATGTTCACAGGCTGGTAACATTCATTCTACAACATATTAAGAATAAAACAAACAAACATAAGGACCCCTTTCAATATTTAAGTTATAGATAGCTTTTACAATATGAATTTCTAGCCTAGAATCTCTTTTGACATTTTTATAAGATTAATGATATCTTTGTAGAATCCGATAGAACTAGTTTTAAGAACTCAAGGTTGACATTTTTAATTCAAGGCTTACAAGGTGTCTTGGAAACTTTAGCCAGTTTCCTGGCTCAAAGCTTTCCCAGACTTAATATCTAGAAGGTCACGTCCTGGTTGTATGAACCCCAGAGGAGAAAGAAGGTATCCAAATCTGAGGGCACTGGTGATAAATGTCATAGTGGCAACTGAAACAAAGCAAACAAGGCTCAGATGTAAGTTTCAAATGAAGCAGAATCATTAAGAGTAAGGACGATCAGTTTCTTGATGCACTAAAAAACAAAGCTTTTATATCTTCACATTTGATGACCTTTCTCTTGGACTTTGCTTAAGCTACAATATGCACTTAAGAATTCCTTGCTCAAAAACGCTCCTCAACGGAAAGAACACTGCTGGAGGAATATCAATACCAAATTTCAAATTCTACTATAAAGCCATAGTAATCAAAGCAGCTTGGTATTGGCATAAGAACAGACCTCAGGAACAATGGAATAGAATTGAAAACCCAGAAATGAACCTACAGACTTATAGCCATCTAATCTTCGATAAGGGAGCTAAAACAATACAATGGAAGAAAGACAGCCTCTTCAGTAAATGGTGCTGGCAAAATTGGTTAACTACATGTAGAAAACTAAAGCTAGATCGTTATATATCACCATGCACCAGAATCAACTCCAAATGGATCAAAGACCTTGAACTCAAAGCAGACACTCTGAAAACATTACAGGATGGAATAGGAGAAACCCTAGGTCTCCTTGGCTCAGGCCGAAATTTTCTGAATACAGACCCGGAAACACAACAAATCAAAGAACAAATGGGATTGCATAAAGTTGCAGAGCTTCTGCAGGGCAAAGGACATAGCTAGCAAGATCAATAGAAAGCCCACGGATTGGGAGAAGATCTTTGCTGGCCATGCAACGGACAAGGGTCTCATATCTAAAATATAATTGGAACTCAAAAAATTAAACCCCCCAACAACAAATCCTCAAAGAAACAACTGCCCAATAAGTAAGTGGGCGAAAGACTTAAAGAGAAGCTTCTCTGAAGAAGAAAGAAGGATGGCCAATAGACACATGAAGAAATGTTCAACATCCCTAGCCATAAAAGAAATGCAAATCAAAACAACATTGAGATATCACCTCACTCCAGTTAGAACGGCAAAAATCAAGAACTCTAACAACAACAGATGCTGGAGGGGATGTGGACAGAAAGGAACCTTACTTCATTGTTGGTGGGAATGTAAACTTGTTCAACCACTTTGGAAAGCAGTATGGAGGTTCCTCAAAAGACTTCACATAGAACTCCCCTATGACCCAGCAATCCCACTTTTGGGCATTTACCCTAATGTTTACAAACAAGACCACACTAAAGCTACCAGCACAACTATGTTTATTGCAGCATTATTTACCATAGCAAAGATATGGAACCAACCCAGATGCCCCTCAGTAGATGAATGGATCAAGAAAATTTGGTATATATACACAATGGAATTCTATGCCTCCATCAGAAAGAATGACATTTCCCCATTTGTTAGGAAATAGAAAGGCTCTTCAATAAAAGGTTCTGACAAAATTGGTTAATCAGCTGTAGAAAACTAAAGCTAGAACTTTATGTATCACCCTACACTAGAATCAACTCCAAATTGATCAAAGACCTCGCAGTGAAAGCAGACACCCTGAAAACATTACAAGACAGAATAGGAGAAACATAAGGTCTCCTTGGGACAGCCCAAAATTTTCTTAACAGAGACTCAGAGACACAACAAATCAAAGAAAGGTTGGACAAATGGGATTGCATGAAATTGCAGAGCTTCTGCATGGCAAAGGACATAGCTAGCAAAATCAACAGAAAGTTCACAAATTGGGAGAAGATTTTCACAAGCCATACAATGGAAAAGGGTCTCATATCTAAAATATACCTGGAACTCAAAAAATTATATCCCTCAACAACAAATCCTCAAACAACTGCTCAATAAATAAGTGGGCTAAAGACTTAAATAGAAACTTCACAGAAGAGGAAAGAAGGAAGGCCAATAGTCACATGAAGAAATGTTTCAACCTCCCTAGTCATAAAAGAAATGCAAATCAAAACAACATTGAGATACCACCTCACCCTAGTTAGAATGGCTATAATTAAGAACCCTAATAACAACAGATGCTGGAAATGATGTGGACAGAAGGGAACCCTACTGCATTGTTGTTGGGAGTGTAAACTTGTTCAATCACTTTGGAAAGTAGTATGGAAGTTCCTCAAAAGACTCCACATAGAGCTCCCCTATGACCCAGCAATACCACTTTTGGGCATTTATTCAAATGATCACACACAAGACCATACTAAAGCTACCAGCACAACTGTTTTTATTGCAGCGTTATTTACCATAGCTAAGATATGGAACCAACCCAGATGCCCCTCCGTAGATGAATAGATCAAGAAAATGTGGTATATATACCCAATGGAATTCTATGCCTCCATCAGAAAGAATGACATTGCCACATTTGTTAGGAAATGGAAAGACTTGGAAAAAATTATATTAAGGGAAGCAAGCCAGGCCCAAAGAAACAGAAGTCCCATGGTTTCTCTTATTTGCAATAACTAGTATGTCTGAGACAAGCAGAAACGGTCAGATAAGTTGATGTTAGGCAAAATGAACCCCAAGATAAGGACTCAAATGGTTTTTTTTTTCTTTCTTGCTATTGTTATAACATATTTATAAGATATTTCTTTGTTACTTTGTATGTCCCCTGTTTTCACTGTATTTGATGTTGATATAATTTGTGGAGGGGAAGGGAAAAACACATTGCTTAAATAGGGATACTTGTGGACCCATTGCAACAATGAGATGTACAAGAAATTATGTGGAAAAATGAAATTTACAACTCTGGTGTGGGGGGTATTGGAGGGTATGGGGGAAGATGGGAAGGGATGGGAAGGGGAAACAAAGGAGGAGGCAACAATGCTTGATAAGAAATGTACTCATTACCTTTCCCATGTAATTGTAACCCCTCTGTATGGTATTTTCACAATAAATAAATAAATAAATAAATAAATGAATAGCAGCTTTCCTTAGGGAACAGTCAGTCTAAATAGAGTAAGATATTTACAAATAAGTTACATGTCTAAGCCCTTCCCAAAAACTGGTAGTAGACAGATAAGTGAGATAGTGTGGTGAATGGACAGCCAATGCATTTCAGCATTAAAGAAGCAGAATTCCCTCAGCATTTGTAAAAAGTATTCTCTATCTTGAGTAAGATATCTTTGAAGGCAGAGAGATAAATGATACTATTATTTTTAGATTAAGTGATCACAAGCAGTATGAAAAAGAAATATAAATTACAAAATATGAGAAGGCAGATGCATTCCATGGAAGATTTGAATTGTTATGATATGAATGATCATAAGATTGAAAGTAGAACAAATTGTAGAGCTATGGTTATTTATTTTCTACCTTTGTTCCCCACCTGACTTGGGAGTACAATTCTACTTCCTCAT